TATTGTACCGTGTCCTTGGGTGTCCTGAAAGGCACTTTATAAATTACATGCATTATTATTATTATTATTATTAAGATGGACTCAATATTCCAATCAAACTCCCCATACATACTCTATACCCCACAGGTCCAGGACATGCACCCGCCCCCGACAGAGGGCAGCCCACATCCAAACCCAGGAGGTAGACCCATTCATTCTAGGGTGTAGAGGAGTAGACAGCCATGGCTCGGCCTAGACCGCACCAGGCAGACCTGCCAGCACCCCCGCCGTAGCGAAGCCATGTCCCCCAACCACCTCCACACACTTCCAACGGCCAAGCACGCACCCCCCATCCGACCACCCCCTGGACTCCGACAGCCACCCTGGCCAGTGGACCAACCATGGCAACCACGAGCCATACCCCAGGAATCCAAATGGTTCCAAGGAAGCCAAAGTGCCAGCCCTGCCCTCAGTGCATACTGTTTATATGTCAGAACCAGACCAAGAGTGTGATGAAGAGAGAGTAGATTTGTGGACATTTTGAGTAAAACCAGTTAACTCAAACTAAATTATCAAAGATTCTGTTGAATATATCTCTTTCAACATCTATTTAAATATTAAAATCACACATTATAACTTTATCTGTATTCAGAAATAATTTAAGACAAGAAAATCCGTGAATTGGACAAAAACTGAGAATAAGGGCCTAATTAAATGTAACTAATTATTGGTTTAGCATGAATCAACAATCATAATGGATAAACAGCAACCACTCCTCCACCTTGACCTGTTGTTCCAGAAACATGAAATTTAAGGGCATTTTCACACCTGATACCTTTGGTCTGCTTTAAACAGACCTACGTTTGTTTCCCCTGTTGGCCCAGACCTTTTACGCAGGTTTGAATACACTCATGCAAACCCTGGTGCAGATCAAACAACTGGACAGAGACCCATTTTTGATGTGGTCTCGGTCCACTTCCATCCGAAATCTGGTGCGATATGCTTCTGGCATGAATGCAGACCAGCCTCAAACTGAACCAACGGCAGGAAGCATGCACCTCTTTGGACTTCACAAGCCACCATTGCTAAGCAAAATTAGCTTTTTAGAGTTGCTAACGCTAACACTGTGCCACAAAAAATGAACCATTGTGGGTCAGGGCAAGCAGAACATCTTGTCTCCTTAAGACTGCGGCACACATTTGACAACACTGTCCCAAAATTATATCATTGTAAAGCCACCATTAAACAAACTGCTCTTAATATTCTTTCAGTTGTATTAACGGCACCATATTTATTTCTGGTTCTGTGCTCTGTCCTGCCCCCATCATTTATGTCGAATGGGAACAATGCCAGTCACCTGCAAGGCTTTGTTTATAACTTACAGTCCACTTGCTAAAAGCACAAAACCGCACCAAAGGAAAAATAAAATCTGCAATTTGGTCCAAACAAGTTGAACAAAGGACTTTGCTGGTGTGAAAGCATCCTACATAATTAGCAGGAGTGGATTACTTTATACTAACTAAATCCTAAATGAATGTAAACTATAACAACGTTGTTGTGTTCTGCATAAAGGTTATGAACAATTACAGTCTTACCTGTTATAGCCACCTCTATGAACAACGTACGCTTGGAGAAATAAAGATAGTCTGACAGAACTGACAAACTAATGGCTTCAAACACAACTGAGCCCAAAGGGATTTGCTGCCACCCTAAAACAGCATCATTCCTACATTCAAAGTGGATTTTACCACTTTAAAACATTTTCAAAATTGAACAGGATTTATGCAAATACTATAAATTACCACTTTACATCACTATCAGATTTAGTTATTTTCACAGAAAATGTTTATATTATAAATTATTTGTCTTTATCACAAATAATTTATTTTAGAAATACAGATTTTGTTATTTTTATTTTTTTTAACAACGGTGCAATACAGTGGATCTTTTACGGTGCAGGAATGAATTAAATGCAGTTGCTAACTTCTTTCCGTGTTTTCGTGCATGCATGCGAACGAGGTGGACAGGTGGCCTTACCTTGGCCGGAGTCTCTCTGGCAGTTTCTGAATCTGACCAGCGATGTTTCAGTTGGGAGGAGCTGGGCACACATTCACAGAACGTCTGTGTGAGGCAAACAGACAAGGCCACAAGTGTTGGTGTTTGTTCAAGTCACATGTGCAATCAGGCATGCAGGCACATGTGCACAAACCCACAGAAAAGGGAACACATGCGTGCACAAATACAAAATGGAGGGACCCAGATCGTGGGGCTGCATTTAAATGCTGTGCTGCATGCATTTTAATGGTCCAAATAATTAAACTTACTTACATACATTATGTCCAATTTTATGTTATATCTTATATGATCCCATGCGATTACATTAAGGCTTGAATAATGTGATGTGGATGACTCACATTTACTACCACACTAAATTGTGCCTCAATATTTGTAAAATTTGCTGAAGTAAACTCATTTTAGTTTAAGCATAAGTCCATCTTGAAATGGATCAACTGACAATGTAAATCCCTTGAAGATGAACAGCCAAATATGTCCAGTTTTTCATAAGATATATTGCTAATGGACAAATTGGTTCAACTCCAAAATTTAACTTCAAGGTTTTGATCAAAAAATATCAAGGAATGTGTTGTGCTTAAAGCATGAGTTGGGCATGATACTCATCTACTACTACATCAAACATTAGTTTAGTATTTGAAAAAACTGACCCAATTATAGCTATTTTGTATTTGCTAAGATGGTGACAATTTTGAATTGAATTGACTGCAAATGTCACTTGTAGATGTTCTTTCAATAAATATTTTCTGAAAGTTTCAAAAAAGCCCATTCCATAATTCAAACCAACACACACATATACAGATCTACGGCCAAAAACATTATAATTATTGTTGAAGAACACCCAGCTTGAGCACATTAATTACAGCCACCTACATACAATCACATGCCCTGATTTATCTGAAAATGCATCCAAATCAGATTCCAATCATTTTGGATAGATTAAACACCTTTTCCGAGAAAAAAAAAGAAAACTAAAAGGATGCAAAGAACCCAACTGAACCAGTATTTCCTGTAAAATATTTAACAAAATACAAAGTATTTTCCACTGTGGGTGACTGTGAGACATTTGTGTGCAATCAAGTGTTCACTACAACCAAATGTGGGTGTTTGTATGTAATATCAGAAATTTGCACTCTGCAGGTTATGAACCTATTTGGTCCCGTGTTTGCATTTTGTCTGGAAGTAGCTGTAGCTGCAGCACAAATAAAAGCAGAGTAATTATAAAAGCTGCAGCTTTCTAATTGCACCAGAAGAGCACAGCTTTATATGACCTTAAACACAAATGCTTCCACAATGGAATTGCTCAATTAGCCTGGGACAATAACACCAACATTAAAGCAGATGAACACGCACACAAATTACCATCTTTAGAGTGAATATGTAAATATCATCAATTACGTATCACGGTTATACGACCAACTTTGGTGTCATAAACAGTTGTGGGAGTGAATGTATGGTGTATGCATGTGACTGAGACTTTATAGGCTCATCAAACTTAATGTATGTTTGTAAGCTGCCACATCAGCAGCTGTATGAAACAAATTAATGTTATTAGTTTTACCGTTTGTTTGTTTATTAGTCTGTCTGTTAGCCAAATATCTCATAAATAAGTAAACTGGTTTTATCTAAACTCTGGTAATTTAGTCATTAGAAGACATTGACAAATTAGGATCTTTTGAAGTCAACCTCATTCAAAAACGCCACCACAGTCAATCATTCTTAATCTTGGAAAATACAAAAATGACTTTACCTCAAAACTTTTTTGCCAGTATTAAGTTGATATTTGATTGGGCAAAAGCTCATATGTATATTGAATGCTGAACTAATACATCAGACTTTTGTTTAAAATGTTGCCATTTAAACCTCTCTCTGTGTTAACAAAATATCTCAAGAACCACTGAGAACTAATGAGATTTGTATGGAACTTTAAATATCATTGGATAAACTGTATATTTGCAACTAATTAACTTTTGTGGTCCACCTAGTTTAAGATGGCTGAATGACTGTTGCTGTTAGAGCTATGGAGCTAAAATCTGATGTGTCAGAAGCTGAAAATAATTGACAACAAATACTTCCGGTGTAACAGATTAAACTTATTATTTTCATGACTTCACCAAAAAAGCTACAATTCTGTCTTTTTTTCAACATAAAACTGAAAGAGAACTCTGGCGTGAAAGGTGGAGGGTGATATACATTTCTACAAGGAATACCTTTATTTTTCTTTGCATGTTTGCAGTAATAGTAACAGCCAGCCTAAAAAAAAGTCTCATTTGGTTTGGCTAATGAACAAGGCCATCCAGCACGGGAGTTGACTGCAGTATCACAATGGCGAGGTTCATCACTGCAGCTAATAATGACCACCAATGATAAGTCTGAAAGGCTTTGCTGAGAAAATACATCAGTTGACTGTGCGTCAGCCAGCAGCAGGTGTAACAGTCAGTTGGGTATACCTGTATATACGTCACAGCTGCAGTGAAGCTCATGTAATTAAATGTTACCTAGTGATGCATTAGGTTGTGATGTTGAAGTGTTGCTCCTGCTTTGTTTTATTTATGTTCTATTTTATTTCCTGGTTAACCTTTTTTTTATTCATGATAATTCTAGCTGACATATTGGCCTAAATATTTTACCCACATGTGACATTTTCCACACACCGTTACAGTCTAGTGTTTTTTATTTATTTTATTTTATTTTATTTTTTACTGTTTAGTGTGGAATTAGATATCTAGCAGGCTTCAAGTAGCATGTGTGTTTAAATAAAGAAATAAATAACCCTCAGTTGTTCTGACTTGTCTGCTCCTAGTAGCTATCAAGGGATCCAATGCAGCTCAGTCAGCTAAGAAAAAAGAAAAAAAATGATGTGTTTCCCTTATTTAGAATTTATGTTAAAACAAGGTCACAAGAAAAAAATGTGCCTAGAGGATAGTAAGTTTGTCAAAAGCAGAAGTGAAGAAGCAACACTGGCGATGTTAAGCTTCTATCTTTAAACAGCTGTTTTTCCTTTAGGAATTTGTACAGTTCTAGTCATGCTATAAACATGCTTATTCTAACAGTTATCACTAAGTGAAAAATTGTGCGCAGCTCAGGCTTTAATTGGTATAATAGCTGACTAAGACTTCCCCTATAAGCATTTCCTTATAATGTGTAAAACTGCAAGAAAGTGGTGAGAAAACATGAAGCAGGAGAAAATAAAAGTTAAGCGATGGCGGTGTTTGTTGAACGAGGCAATGGGGAAGATATGAGAGGTGTGCTGAATTTTAATGAGCAGCCTTGGGGTCAGCGATAGAAATGTGTGTCTGTTCTGCCTAAAACATTGCAGCTGCCTGTGCTTGCAGTACACAGAGGAGCTACAGAGCTGCATCACTAAATAAACAAAGACTCTACAGTGGTGTGGCTAACTCTCAAATGAGCTTCCAATTAAAGTAAATAGCAAAAAAGAAAAGAAAAAGAAAGCTTGCGGAGCTTACAAGCCCAGAAACAAAACAAAAAAGTGTGTGTGTGTGTGTGTGTGTGTGTGTGTGTGTGTGTGTGTGTGTGTGTGTGTGTGTGNTGTGTGTGTGTGTGTGTGTGTGTGTGTGTTTCATACTGGAGCACAAGTTGGTGGATTACCACACATGGACACAATGTTTGCCCTCGCTTCATGCAAAAATAAAGAACACACAGACACACACACACTCTCTCTCTTACAGGTGAACTCATGCACACTGAACAAAGGCTGCAGCTGCAACCCACACAAATCCCTGATGCTCTCTCTTCCCATAACACTGAGCAGCATGTATCAGAGCTTTGGTTTGCTCATCTCCCTGTCTACTGATACTCACACTGGAGTTCTTTGCTGCTCCTGCACAGACACACACACACACACGCACCACCATGAGACACCCAATATCTGCCGGGCTTCTTACTGGCTGTGGTCTCAGTGTGTGCATGACTGCTTTTTGTCTATTCCCAATCTGACTCTGAAATCTCCACCAGCAAAGAAGATTTAAACTCAATAGGATATGTTTTTTTTTTTTTTTTTTTTTTTTTTTTTTATAGCTGGGTGTTGCACGCAGGCTATTATTTGATCAAATGGGAAGGGGCTTGCACCTTTGCTTTGTGAATGAATGTGGACAAGCACAAGTTTCGAATGGGTTTATATATCCGAAACAAGAATACCAGCAGTTCTTTGAGGATATTGGAAGACATAGTTTTTGGCCTATATTAGCTCACTTTACAGAGCACTTTTTCGGAATGTGTGTGACAGGGATTTAGCAAGGTGTGTTTAAGCTTTCTGCTCACTAAGCCGATGATGGAGTGGAAGAGGCTTTGCATATATTCACTTGTGGGCTTACTAATCATTTAACAGGACTTGCAGACTGCTAAATGGGGGGACTCACACTGACAGAACGATAAAAAAGAGAGAGAAGAAAGAGGAGAGAAAAAGGGCCAGAATAAGGAGGGTGTGAAGCCTTGACTTTGGTCACCAGTGCTCCACGTAAGGAAAGATTAGATATTGATTGGAACCACAGAGACATCCTTTAGAACTCACACCAAAACAGTATTCACCTGTAAGAAATTGAATTAAAATAAGTTGGACTGTGACATTCCTATTCTTCTTCTTTTTTTCTTTTTTTTGGGTTAGTTTTTTTTTCTTATTCCAGGGAGTCAATAACTTGTTACAGAAAAAAATAAATAAATAAAAAAAACTTTAGAACTTTTTTTAAAATGATGCTTAAGGTAGCACTAATATGTAACACAAAATGTTTATATACAATTAATATCTTACCTGTTATAGATAGCTCTCTGGCATTAGTTTGGTTAAATGTTTTGTTTTGATTGGAGTGGCTCCATATAGTTTCATTCACACTGCAGGTACCATGCTCAGTCCCATTTTTTTGTAAAAATTTAATATTTTTGCTTGTTCATTCACATTATAATTATGAGCCCCGCACGTGAAGCATAAGCGGGAGTCATATTGTTTTTGTACTGTTAATTTTTTTTTTCAGTGATTTTTGGTCAACCGTACCACAAAAACGGCTGCACTGATCAACATGAAATTTGGCAGG